ACGATGAACGCCTAAAGTCATCCACGGCAAATACTATTTGCGCGTAGATAATCTTGAAACGTGCGAAACTGGCAGCATTTTAATGAACGGTTTTATTGTTTAAATTATATTTTGTAGTAAATAATTTTTACTTACAGTTTGCTGTGAAATAACAGACAGCAACTATGACGACACCTGGGAAATTGGCCTCTTTTACATATCAGCCATGAGCAACATTCGTTGTGCATTTCTTCATCGGGCGACAATAACCTCTGCTACGATATCGACACCGAGGAAAGTCGTATTTTTGACGCATCGCTAATAGATGCATACTACTGCAGCATCCAGTATTCTGCATCTTTCGCATGTAATCAGATATGCCTTTGAACTTTGTGTCTTCGTAGGCCAACATGTGATGGTTGTGGTCGAAACTCGATGTAAAATATATGAATATGCTAAATGAAGACCTGACAAAACTACCAGGACAACCCATTTTTGACTCTTGATTCGACGGTAGAATCTACATCACTTTACCATATACTCGTAAACGTAGCAAAAATGTTGAAGTATTCAGCCTACAGTCAATCTGAGCAATGTGTTCTAACCCGGTTCCAAACATCGCACTCATCTGAGCCGTCTGGATACCACAAAACCAGAAGAGAAGAATTAAGGTTGGGTGTACAACCCCACTTCTCATGTGATTCAGTGTATGTAGACAAAAGGCGCAACACCCTTGAGTGAAGGAAGACCTCAGTCATGACCTGCTAAAGAAAATTCATCAGGTTCAAAAGCGCTGATATCAGAGAAAGAGTCATCCGGCAAGTCAGCTGTACCCTCGTGAAAATGAGAGTCCTTTTACAACTCATCGTTACTGCAAAAACACGTCTCAACTGCTAAAACTACCTCGAAAGGAAACAACGTTTATTTTACTTTATAACTCCATTTTTACCGTACATCTAACTGCTCCCTGATAAGCATGATAGTTCTTCGCTTCTCATGAAACTTCAGTCTAAGCATAAGATGGCAACTATATACGAAACAGCCACACTCTTTTTTAGGCTTTGTGCAAGCCCCCGTGTTTAGTCGTCATCCGATTAGTACTTCTGTTCAATCTGGTCTCTTTATGGACTGTTACAAACGCTGCGTTCAAATTCTTCAGTTTTGATTTATTATTACAGTATTTCTCTTTGATAAGGTTGCATTCGCGATACATAAAAATCTGTCGATGTCAGGTTTTTCTGTGTCTTTGACAAACGTTTGGATTGCATAACATATCCATATTTTCTTCATCGTAACATTTGACCACAGAGAAAACTTGCGTGCTCTATGGTCCATGATGCCAGCTCATCTCAACGTTTTACATTTCAATATTATGGGTTTAGATTGCGTAGAAGAATTACAGGTTCGTGATTAACAACAGAGCTCTGTACAGGTTCTTGCTTCATATGATGTACTAGCTATGAGCTATTCAACGCATGATTCTTTTTTTGCTTCTCATGTTAGCAGCAGAGGCGCCCAATCAAATTCGGTTATTTCCCTGCAGATGATCAGATCATACAGTCCGTCAGTATCTGGCCCCCTTCAGATATGTCCATCTGATCACCTAAAATTTGAAAATGCTCGTTCCCATAGCTGTCGTACCACCTGATCATCTGAATACGTCGTATCGCCGGTGATATTTCATCAGTGATGCTTATGACTGCTACGTTTTACGGCAGGCATCCTAGTCTTACAAGCTACAGAAAGAATAGACTCTTCTCCACCAGCAGTCAAGGTATCAGTAATTTGGAATAAAATTCTTCCGGCATAGAAGTTAAGAATTCGATCGTTACAGAAACATTCTAAGATCGATGCTTAAACGTTTATTTTATTGTCAACGTTTCGGCTAAGCTCCCTCTGCCACCTCGTTTGCCCTATATATACTGATGTTGTTATACCGAAGGTATGCACAAATGTGAGCACTCACTTTAACATCGATTTTCTGATTACGTCAGTCTCTCTGCCACCGGACACCGCCATTACTTCGCTTTGAATTATTCGACCGATAGAAGAGAACCGTTGCCAGACCACACTGATTGACCACCAGCTGTTTCATCATTATCGCCTCAATCCCTCCGCTTCATAGAGGTGTCTTATGTGCAGCGTTCATTTGTGATTAAGACGGAATGGATACACGACGTATCGCTTCATATTCTCTTCCTGAGGAGGCCATAAACAGCTAGCGTATAGGTAAATTCACAGCAGTCGAAAGTTCGTCAAACTTTGTAGCTGCTTATGCTAAGGGAGAACTGTGGCTGGAATGCTCTTCCTTCAGTCCTTCTCAGGATGTTCATGGATAATACCGGGCAGTGTAGAAAAT